AGAGAGAGAGAGAGAGAGAGAGAGAGAGAGAGAGAGAGAGAGGGAGAGGGAGAGAGAGAAAGAGAGAATGAGAGAGCAATAGAGAATCGGAGAGAGAGAGAGGGGAGAGAGAAAACGTCTCTCTCTCTCTCTCTCTCTCTCTCTCTCTCTCTCTCTCTCTCTCTCTCTCTCTCTCTCTCTCTCTCTCTCTCTCTCTCTCTCTCTCTCTCTCTCTCTTCTCTCTCTCTCTCTCTTTTTCATATATTTCCTTCATTCCCTTTATATCCTATAACAATTCAATATACAGAAAAGAGAGAGAAAAAGAAATAAGAGAAACACATCTTTTTCAATTTTATGACCAAAGGCGACGTCGAACCAAACTGAAAACGAAAACAAGTAAGCAATAAACAATAAGGAGCGTAAAGATAAAAAAAGAAAAAACTAAAATAAAAAAAATACCGCTTCGGGAAATTTAAAAATGCCAATCGACGAAAACATAATTATAGCGAAGAGAATAATCCACGATAATAAGAAATTAAATTAGATCTCTCTAAAAAAAAAAAAAAAAAAAAAGGCTTCTGGAATGTGGTTTAAAGCGAGTGTCTTCATTTTCTGAATTTCTCGCTGATGGGCATTTCGAATTAAAAAAAAAAGGTGGGGGGGGGGGACTTCTCGTTATATATTAAGAGGCTGAAAAGTAAAGAAGAAGGAATTAATATTTTTTCCCCCCCACAAAATTTCACTACAGGGCATGAATTTGACTAAAGTTTTTTACTTATTTTAGATGAAGAATTATATATTTCTTTAAATTTATTCATCTATTTATTCTTTATTGGTGTATGTTCATTTGTTGTAATTTAATTCTATTTTCTTTAATTTTTTTTTTATTATTTATCATTATCTTGAGAGAGGGTTATGAACTTTCCTACATTGTTTAACTTAATGCCAGTGACAAACTTTTATAGAAATGTAAGTTTGGCCTTTTTGAATATAGTTAGTTTTCATCGGCGTTAGAATAATTCACGAACCCAATCAAAAACCTACATCGATGTATATAAAGATAAAGCATTAGATATTAAAGAGAGCAAAATGTAACCTGAATATGAAACACAAAAACACGCGAAATAACTTTTATTTGCGGTTTGTCTGTCCCTCAAAATCGGCATTGTGCCTGGTGTCCGTGTAGATATAAAGCTTTCATAAACGACCTTTAGCGTTCGCATTAATAGTGCGTGAGCGACCTTTCAGTGGGATCCGAACGCCTCCTTTCCCGCCATTTCTGACCGAGGCATTTTTCAGTCGGAAAATATCCCCCTCCCTCACCTCTGCTTTCTTTTGTAGTTGTTATTAATAATAATCGTTTCTTAACATTCTTCCATTTTGTATGAATATCGTTTTTTTTTTTTTTTTTTTTTTTTTTTTTTTTTTTTTTTTTTTTTTTTTTTTTTTTTTTTTTTTTTAGAGAGAGAGAGGGAGAGAGAGAGAAAGAGATGAAGATGAATTTCAGTATGCCAAACCATCAGAAAAAAAAATCTAGGAAAGTTTATAAAAATGTTTTCTAGGGAAATTAATCACATCTTTTCTTTTATAGGTAAATTTATATATATCTATCTATCTATCTATCTATCTATCTATCTATATATATATATATATATATATATATATATATATATATATATATATATATATATATATTATTTGTTCGTAGCGTCATAAACATCACTGCATAAGCTGCATATAATATGAAGTATGTTAATACAATATAGACCGTAAGTTAAATCGTGCAAATAGATATGTAAGAAACTGGTACAGTATATTTCGTATGTTCGTATTACAACACGACTTTTATATGGTATGAATAATAAAAGAAAACGATATAATTCTAATATGTAGCTTTTATTAAAGACGCAAACATGTAGAGACAGCGATTTTGTTTTACATAATGGTGGATTGTAATAGATAATCTTGAATGCATTAATATTTGTTTAGTTGTTTAATTGTTGATAAATATATTAACTTTACTTACATTGGAGGAATGTAGATTTGATACTAAATATTGATGATTATATTGGAAAACCTTAAGTAATTTAATAGTATACATGAAATCATTATACCGATAATAACAGCTTAGTTATATTGATATAATATTGTAATGTTAGTTTTATTGATATAATGTTATAATATTAGTTCTATTGATATAATATTATAATATTATTTTTACTGATATAATATTATAATATTAGTTATATTGATATAATTGCTAACACTGATTCCCACAGCAATGATAATCAGCCACATATACTATTCACATAAGTCAATGGCAAAAAATTATTCCCCCCAAAAAAAACTAAAATCATAAACAAAGAAAGAATAGGAAGAAATGATGAAAATAAGGAAAATGAAATATTAATAAAAGTTGACGTCACTGTCAGGCAAAGACAACAGCAACTGCCTTTTCCAGACCTGTTATTGGCCCACGAGGCTGTTGTTCCGTGCTGTTGTTGACAGGAGGAGAGAGAAG